ATCTATTTCTAGAAATGAACATAGGAAGAAAAACTCAGAGAGATCCCTGAGGCCCAGATAGAAACAGGTCGCCCAGCTGGCACGGAACTGCATTACGCATTGTCTCACCTACCAGGTGCCCTTTTCTGCCTCCGTGCCCTGCATGACAGCACCCACATGGCAGGGCTTCGCCATAAAGTATCCCAAGGAGACAGTTTGCAAACATGTGGTTCGGAAACCAGCACCTGAACTAAAAGCTGACTTCGCCGAGATACCAGCCTTCCTCAGCCCAGTGCATTTAGCCAGAGGTCACATTAGACATCTACTTTCCATTAGTTTTAGCCACAAGTGCCAGGACGGAAGGAGGAAGCAAAATTCAGAGGAACTGGCTAATGCTCAAGAGAGGTCGGCACCAGCCCAGCACACTCAGGCAGAAGAGCGAGTGGAATTCATGCTAACCTCTCCAGCACATGCAGACAGGAGGCCCTGTCACAGTCCTTCCAGACATATGGATTTCTCATAAGTCATCTGTCCCAAAAGAATTGCGGAAGCAAATGGACTTGGCCAGCTTTGAAGATAAGATTCAGAACAAAGAGTGCAGAATCCCATCACAAAGATGAGGGCAGCTTTCCTAACGAGCAGTCCCAGGTGATCGCAGCCGGAACAACTATCTTCCCTTCTCTGTCATCTTCCCTCTGACCCCCACAGCCCCTTCCCATGAAGACCTGAGCCCCACCTCATTCCAGGCAACTTCCATCATGCTGTTCTGGGGTCTTGTTCTGATCTATTTTCAGATTGACAGGGAGCAAAATGCTAAGGGAACAACGAGTTCAAGGATCAATTACCATTTAATGGGCAGAGTTCTTATCTCTGGATGAATCTCCAGGTGAGAACCCGAAGGACTGGCCCTGGGAACACACAACCAATCTCCCTGAACTTAGAAGGACTGGAGATGCCACATAATTAAGAGGCACCTCCCGCAGGAGAAAGTATCAGGTTCCCCCCAAAAGGCCATTCTTAACTCTCTTGAATTGCAAGATTTGGGACAGCCACGGCAAGGAGGGAAACCACATTCTGCAATTTCAAGGCTGTTAAATGATGTTGTGTCTTCACTTCATCGAAGTCCCAGTGTGTTTTAGAATACCCTAGCTCACGAACAGCTTCAGGGCAACCTCACCCACCCACAGCCTCGGTGCCAGCTGAAAATCACACGCAGAGAGGAGGGAAAGAGCTCGTCCTAGGCTCTCCTGCGTAGCTTGCGCATGCAGAGACGGGCAGGTATGTGTTCTTGGGTTCCTTAGAAAACTGGGTTCATTCAGGTGGAGAGACCTTTCCTGGGTCCCCAGACTGTTGTTGTACAGGTTGTGCATCGATCAGGTCTCTAAGTCACTGTGACCAAGTGCCCTCACAGACTGGCGTCAAAAGTCTGGTCACTGTCGCTCTAGCTGCAACAAAATCCTTCCTAGAATTAAGACATACCATGTCTGCATGAGTGGCAGGGGGCGCCTTACACAGCCAGTGCAGGAAGGACTATCCTCTCAGCTGGAAGGACAAGCCGGCTTTCCTAATCCTTAGCCCTGTCCCCAGCTGGGACTCCCCAGAGCACATGGACGCAGCTAGAGAAGCGAACTGCTGTTGAGATGGGTGAATATTTAGAGCAAAGGTAATTTGCTTGCTGCTCTGTTTTTACCAGGGAGGGACTCAGATGGAAAAGCAGAGAAGAGGCTCCTACAGGGGAAGAGGGATAAAGCTTTGCTCCTTCCCCCGGCGTGACGGAGAAAAACTAGACAGCAGGCCATATGCAGCGAAGGATCAGGATGCGAACAGGTCATCAGAATCCAGTAGTGAGAAGACCACAGTAAGGGACAGTCCAGTGCCTGGAGTATAGTCCTAACTGACACTGACACTGTATGAAGAAAGTCCTTGGTAAATGATGGAGCAATAATTACTTTCTGTGCATATGACACATATTGTGGAACTAAAAGAGACATTTTCTTGATGTGCATTGAGACCTCTGGATAAACATCACAGATGGAAAGATCCTCCTTTACATAAAAGGAAACCAAGTGGTTATTGACATCCCAGAATAATCCTCCTCCTTGCCATAGCGATAGGGTTACCCAGCGATAATGGTGTGAAGTATAACCATAGTAAGATATGGCCCAGAGGTCCCCCACTTCTTGCTATTAGCAGTCCCAAGACTGGGTGAGGTCAATCTGCAGGAAATTTAGGATTCTCTTCAAACTCAACTCTTCCCTCAGAGCCCTGTCAACAAACCTCTGTCCAGTCTCAGACCTCTGCATGCAGGCTCCCCAGCCCTGTTACCCACACACAGACCCATGCACCACTCCTCCCCCCAACGTGCGTGAAAGCCCAAACTGCCGACGCACTGAAATCAAGCTCGGCCTCTGCCTAGGATGGCTGCCACAGCAGGAAGACTTGCCATCGTGCTCCCTGAATTTTCCACGCCTGCCTCCATTCCCAGTGACAAGGACACATGGAGAAGCAGCAGAAGTTGCTGTACCTTCATGCACAATCAGCAGAGACATGGACAGCCGCCCCGACACGTCCTGCTCCTGACCCGGCCATGCACATCAGCCCGCAGGACCTTGGGGTAACCCGGTGAGTCTGACCTCTCTCTTCTTTCTCCCACTTCCTGCCCCCTGCTGTCAAGGGACAGATGCAGAGACTAATTGATGAAGGCAGGATGTCAGACTTAGTTCCAACTGGCTTTAAATCCTGGCTCCGCAGTGCTGTAGTTTGTGTTTGCAGCACAGCGTTCTCAATCCTGAAGTGGGGACTATGATAACTTCGTCATGGCAACAGTATAGATGAAATAAATGAACTTATTCAAGGCCCCTGGCAAAGTGCCTGACTGGTGGAAATGCCCAACCAATGTAAATTGCCATCCTCTGCCCACCCCAGGACACCAGATGTAAAACAAAGGGCTTTAAGATACCCTAAGTGGCCAGGGCGGGGCACAGACCAAGGGCCTCTCTAGAAGATGCTCCCTCAGTGGATGAATCCACAGCCCCAGCCACTTTCTGACACTCTCAGTCATGACAATCAGCCATGAAACCTGACCATCAAGCCGACAAAGTATCCTTCCAGGGCCAGGGATTTTCCCTCTTTGATTTCTGTCATCCCAACTTTGTGAGTACTTCTTGCTTTGGACTCAGAACTTCCAGATTTGACTTGTTTCAGAAAAATGTTAGCCAAGCCATGAAAGCCCCTCTTGATTAATTGAAATAAACTAAATAAACTTAAATAAAGTCAGGCAACTGAACTGCTTTGACCTCCTTTTCTAAAACTGCATGCACGCGCACAACACACACACACACACACACACACACACACATCACCACCACCACCACCCCTACTACCAAACTCTACTTTTTCTCTTTTCTGCTTTATTTTCCTTCTAAGGATCTATTATTCTTGAGCATACAATATATTCTACTTTAGCTTTATTTTCTATCTCCCTTATTAAGGGAAGAGATTTTTGTCTGTTTTATTCCATCATGTCCCTGGCACCAAGAATGACTCACAGAAAATGGATAGACTGTATGCCTCCATTTACTAGGGAAGGTATCAGTTTATGCCTGGAGGTATCAAATTAATTAACAATAACTCCCCTTTCCATTCTCAGAGGTGTCCAAGTTCAGACAAATATACAGAGTTGATTAATAATAAATATTTGTAGAATTGAATAAATTTGACCAATTTGATATTTTAATTAAGGCTCTCAACTCCTGAAACCAAGTTTTTTTTTTACCCTGATATGAATGAAATATATATGATGTTTTAGAAGCATAAGAAGAGATTGATTAATTTCTTATAATGGTCCTGCTTCCAAAATTCTCACAAGGCTAACAAACATGGTCATTCTGCTCAACTCTCACAATACACAGTTAACACTTAAAATGCCTAAAATTAAGATCCTGACTATTAACAGTGCCAAGAGGAGATACCTATAAAAACATGGCCCCGAGAGAACCTGGAAGCTATGTTAATTTACTTCCCTAACCAAGTCAAAAGAAAGCAAATGAAATTGTAAAAGCATACCCCTGCACCAGTCCATAAGGCTGGGGCAGGATAATATCATGTTTTAGAGTCCAGAGCCTTCTCACTTCAAAACTACAGCACAGCCAGCCAGTGTTTAGAACAGCATCTGGCTTGTGGCAAAACATCTTGAGTGACAAGCAGGACTCGTGTCTTCCTAGTCTGGGTGGGATTTTTAAAGTCAGATACGTGAATTCTATGGTCTTATTTTCCCAAGCAGACCATTCCCCAAACAGAAGGAAACAGCCCTTCGGCAAAAAGTGGAAGGAAGCCATCCCATTCAGTCTGATGATCAAGGCAAGACAGGTGGAACTTCAACTTCACAGTATGTCCCATCTCCAAGCCAGAAATCGTTATGGAGATGAACATAGGGAGGGGAACAATTTCCCCTAAATACCTGGGGATGTGAATCGGTCACGGAGCACCATAATAAACGTCCTGAGGGTCAGATTTCTTAGACCAAGCTCCAGCTGAGGTCAACAGGGAGACCTCTGGTCCGTCTGACCCTTTAGCCTATGTGCTATTCTTAGCTCCTTAAAGGGAGTACAGGCACCCAATGCAGACTCAGAAGTCAAGGTCACACTTCCCGAAATGCAAGAAAGCAGCCAAACCACAGTCCATGCAGAGCTTCCAGCCTCCACCACACACGCAGCCTTGGACAGAATCCTCGGCAGCCATCTGAACACCGTGATTCTCCCGGATGTGCACCCAGTTTTAGCAGATCATGGCCCCGCCACCCTCCACCATGCTTCCTCCCCATGAGGCATCCCAAGCACATCAGTAGCTTCGGCAGGACCCTTCCATGGAAGGTAAACGATGCCCCACCGGTGGGAGGCAGGGAAAGAGGTGGGAAGCGGCCCCAGCCCATGGAAGTTCCTCTCCAAAGCCTGCAAGCTGACAGCCCGTGTGGGGACTGCCCGCCCGGCCTCCCCAGCCCCGGAAAGGAAATGCAGACTCACTGCGGAAGCTGCCGGTGCTGCTAGCCGCTGCCTCTGCCATGACACGCTGATCGCGCCCTTCTGGCATGGCCCTTCCTGACAGTGGATGGGGGAGACAGCGGGGTAGGGAAGAGAGAAGAAAGGATGAAGGCAGAGGAAGGAGGCACGGAGGGATGGAAGGCGGGAGAAGGGAAATGGGTACATCTTTAACTGGACGGCGTGTCTCTCCTGGCCACGGCCTCCAAACACCTCTTGCACACCACTGGGGAGGGAGGCTGGCCTCGTGAACCTGTCCAAAGCCCTCACTCAGGAGTCCACTTAACGGCTCGGCAGGCACACGAACACGCACTGCCAGGGAGCCACCGAGATCCAGCCGGCTTCCCTCCAAGACTGGTTCCACTCCCAACAAGATGGGCCTCCAACCAACTGCCACTCTGAAAGGAAGTGGACTTTAAGATTTGTACCCTCTTAGGCCAAAAACATAGCATCTTCTCTCAAGCTTCTGAGGGAACATCTGCCCTCACTGTCTTCAGCAGAAAACCCCCTGAATTCACCACTCCTTGTAGGGTGTCCCTTCTGCAAGCGAAGGGGAGAAGCCTCAGAAGAAATCAGCATGGCTGAGACCTGGACCTCAGACTTCCAGCCTCCAGGCTGTGAGAAAATAACTTTGTGTTGTTAAGACCACCCAGTCGGTACTACTCTGCCACTGTAGCTCTAGCAAATGTACAGAGGGAGAAGGCCTCTGGCACGGGTAGAAATGAGCCAGTGCCATTGTGGCAAGGGGGCCCTGGGGGGCTTCTTGTGGGAGGGGTCATGAAGGACACTGGTGGAGCGCTGGAGAGTCCTGGCGGCCAGGGCGAGAAATGTATATTTTTGAGAGAAGAGGATTCGCATGAGGTCCTTAAGCAAGCAGCTGGGAAGACGGAAGCATAGAAGGGTGTGGGTAGGCTGGCACATGCATGGACCGTGTGGTGTTAGGCCAGGGAGGGGACTAGGCTTGCTCCTGCCAACATGCAAAGAACAAGTGGCCTTGGAGTGCTGTAAAGGGAGACGAAGCAGGATTAGGTGAGGAGTTAGGTATAGGTGAGGAAGAGACAGGTTCAAGAACGACTCCCCTTTGGGGAACCTCCCGGAGAGCGTCCGCAGATGTAAATGGGTGGCTGAGGAGCACCAGGAGGTGACTGTGGTGAGTTTTGTCTCCAATAGGCCAAGTTTCAATCACCAGCGAACTCTCCAGGGGAGGCTAAGACATTAAGCAATCACAGAGAGACTCCACAGAGGCGGAAGCTTGAAATGTAAATTCAAATGGCTTCTGCCTAAAAGTGAAAAGGGGGTTATAACTACCTGAGTGTGTGAGGTTTCCAAAGTAGGTGCCTAAAAGAGCAGCCACAGAGGTTTAAATGAGAGGAAGGAGAGAAACCAATGGATGCGGTGAAGAAGGGCTAAAGAGGGGAATACATTAGAGAGCCAGGCATTCTAAGGCATGGACCGAATGTTAAGCAGTAGCGGGGGACAGAGGACTGGGACAAAGCGTGGGGCCATTATCAGTACAGATACTCAACAGATAGCTCAAAAAAGGACTTGACATTTTAGAGGAAAGGCATACGAATTTTGCCAGGATGAGATAATTAGTGACCCCGAAAAATGCAGAGTCAATGAAGTGGTCAAAATTAAGACAGAAAATGAAAATGAACTATTTTAGTAGCCTGGGAGATAAATGGAAGTTGGAAGGGGCAGAAAGGTCAAATGAAGATTTTTTTCTTTAATGTACAAGACATTATGGATTTTAGAGCAGAAAAGAGAGAGAAAGGCTTTGAGGTACCCAAACAGGACAAACTAGAGGCACAGAGAGAGGTGGGCTAGAGACAGGGCAGGTGACAGATGGTGACTTTCTGTGACAGGGTTAACTCAGGATCTCAGAATGGCATAAAAGCAAAACTCAGAGGTCATCTGCTGCAATGTCAGCTCAGAGCAGGTGTTGCTATGACATCTCCAACAGGCAGCTATCTGGATTTTCTGGGAAATCACTGGGGGTGGACAAACCCCCATCTTACAGAGAGGTGGTCCCCTCTTCACACGGTAAGGGCAACCATCCTGGGCCCTCTACTTCTCCACCCTAGAGCTTTCTAATCCTGCCCCACCTGTGAGTATGGGTGGGTGCTGCAGGGCCCACTCACCAGACCAAGGTGATGGAAGGCAAGCCCCCCAGAGTGTCTCTGAATGTGATGAACCCAGCTTGGTGATTTCGGACTGTCCCAAACTGCAGTGGCCGGGAGCATCATTCCAGAGCAGTCATTCACCAAGAGGTACACCTGTCTTCCTGTTTATTTCACTTAGACATTTACAGAATTCCTACCATATACCAGATAGGATGTCGGGCATGAGGATATGTTATTGGTGAAATAAGGCATGGGTGCTGCCCTTTCGAACACCTCAAGCTATTATGAACAAATATGTGTCAACAGATGCTCTAAGAATACATTGCACGGTAAACACATAAGAAATCACTTCCTGCAAAATTAGACATCCTAGGGCAGCAGTTCTCACGTCGTTCCCTGCTCCTGGTGTCCCTTCCTTACTCCCAGTTTCCCGGAATCTGTGTTACATTTTTGAGACCCCACCTGGCCAAGATCACCTTGCTGTTGACTACCTCGGAGACCCCAAACTCCCTGAATTAAGTCTCCTTGCTTGCGATGGGGCCAGCCCTGAGTCATCCCATTTGTCTCCTTTTCCTTGAACATCTCCGCCACAAAGCCCTACCAGAAAAAATATCGTTGAACTGGCTTATTGTAGGTTCCCTCGCCTACCCCTAAATTCTATCCAATCTCATGGAAACTGTGCTATACTCATACACTATTTAAAAATTCTATTCACAAATGACCTCCTTAAAAAACCATACTTAACGAATCACAACAGTGAACCCAACTCTATCCTGCCTTAAATTTTTTGTGCAAAGTGAGGAATACCAACTACTCTTTCTGAGCCTCAGTTTACTAGTAGGTACTTAGAAGTAATCACACTGGCTCTGGTAGACCTCAAAGTACTTTGATGATGATCACAGAGAAGCACTGGACCTGTGAGATGGGAGACCAGTGTTTCTGTCTTGATTCTATCACCAAACAGATGCATGAGCTTGAGAAACACCCAAGAGCCTCCTCCCTCTCTGGGCACCCCCATCTGTCCCCATCTGTCACATAAATGGGTTTGACAAGATGACCTCCAAGTTCACTGCTAGCCAGGATTTCACAAGTTTGCCAGTGTAGACTGCTTACCCAAACTTCATGTGGGCTTTTATCAAGGACTCCCTATGAACAAAAGAGGTTGATGTGTGTCAGAGAAGAGTCCAGTTGGGTGGAGCCATAATCGTGGAAAGACTGTGTTTAAAGAATGCCGATCATTGGGATCAACAACTGATTGTTTGGGAGCAGGACTCTACAGCAAACCGAAGTCCTGAGCTCTTCAGCTTTCAAAAAAATTAAAATATGCTTAAGATTCTTGCTGGTACATTGAGAAAAGTTGCAGGTGGCACAGAGCAAGAAGGGAGAACTGTGTCTAGACTTAAAAAACCAGAAACCTTGACAGAATGGAACAAGGGATCAAATCTGCCAAGAACAAGGGATTTTTTTAAACAAAACAAACAAAACACTTAAGTGAAGTGTGAGAAAAAGACCAGTAGAATATACTTTAGGATGTTGGGACACTAGTCCCATCTATGTGAACTTGAGTAAATAAACCAAAGTTAGCCCCAGTAATGCAGGCTCCTGGCAGACCGCTCGATCTATACATGACCTTTCAACAGAGGGGCATTCAATAAACTCACACCTACGCCTTATATTAGATTCCCTCAATTGTGAGAAGCAAAGTCAGAGCATGCCTAAAAGCGTCCAGTAAAATCCCTGAATTGGGATGGAATGTGCCAGACACAGGTACCACCGGTTTCCTTGCCTATACTCATGGCAGACATCACGAGTCGATCCCACATGCTTTTTCACTGACTAGATGTAGCCATCAAGGTCTTACCATCACTCCACTCCAAGCAACTACTACCACTCAATCAGAACTGGTACCTGAGATCTGCTTGCCATTCCTGGGGCATGCAATACTTGGTATCAAGGCAACTAGATTTACAAACAGTAAAAGGAGTCACATTTTAGGTATAAAGGAAATTCAGTGATGTGGAAAGCACTTGGAATTCTAACAATAAAGTGACTCCTTCCAACTATTTGGAAATGAAGAAATTACAGTTGGTCTCTTTAAGATCAGCATAAAATGGCTGAAAACATAAATGTGTGTCCAAGGTTGCAAAAAACCTTGTGTGCCACCAGGCCATCATGGCTTGCCTGTACTCTGATGGATGCAGATAAAAAAGAATATGTGTTTTAGAAGGGACACTGGCTGGTCCTAGAGACCTGGAAAGGGATTGTCATAGACTTGGACAGTGGCAATGTTCATCCTCTCTGGGCTTCAGTCAGGGGAGAGAGGATTTCGGCAGAAGACTAGAATATTTCTGAACATACTGGGAAGCGAGTGAGTCCGTTACCAGATGGATATGGGCATATTGGTCCTTTTTAGCTGGAGGCCACTGACCATTGGCTCATCCAACTCCGTTGCTCTGATTTCTTCCTCTTTAAGCAGCATTCTCAGTATTATCAGGCTTCCCACACAGGCTGGCTTACTGGTCGTGAATGCTTTGATCATATCCCTTTGAGTAACCTGGTCCCCTATATGCATTAATAACTTGACCTTCTGGTGCTCATTGCAGTCTCATGGCTATTTTAATTATTAGGAGACATCCTCTCAGGCTTCTTAACCGATAAGCAGACATTTAGCCTTTGGTGGGGGGATCAGATCAATTGTGGCTTCCCCATAGGTTACCTCATCGCCTCTTCCAGATGCACCTATCCAGGGTCCTCACATGCTGACTATGGGTGTCTGGCAAGTGGGGACCTATAAAGATCCATCTAAAAATGCTTAACCCATTATTTTTTACCCATTACAAACATTTGACAAAGGATTGTATATTTTCAAATGAAGCACTTTTATTAAGCACTTATTCCATGAGAAATCCCTGTGATAAAAATGGAGTGGGTTCCTTT